CACACACACACACACACACACACACACACACACACACACACACACACACACACACACACACACACACACACACTGAAATACGCTTAGTATGTGAATGCAAACACAACAAACCCGCTTTAGTCACAAACTACAGAAGATTCACCTGAAGCGACTCTAATGGTCTGAGGGTCATCGGCTCCATTTACAACACACAGGGGTCAAGGAGGCCATTGCTACAAAGAGCAAAGGATCATGGGAGAATGGACTGTCTGTCTGATAAATGCAGTTCAAGCAGCACTGAATGAAACTGCTTAAATAATGACTGTTTCCAGACAGGTTTCCAAACACTCTCACTGTGCTGCAGTACTATAATCATAGTAAAACTAGAGTTGCTGTCAGCTTTATTGGCTTTTTCAAGGCTTCAATATTCAACAAACAGTATATGCAATAAATATAAACATTTTATGAAATGAAACAAAAAAAACACTTTTGTATATTCATAAAAGTAACTATAAAATAATGACGCTATTGTGCTCTACTTCTGTAGAGCTGCTTTACAGCTGAAATGGAATTAGTTTCAGAACTGATGAATTTTATAACAATAGCAATAGAAATTTTATAGAAATATAGCATTATTGCTATAGAAATAAACATGACTTAACTATAAAAGATTCTGTAAATGTATTTGTGATATAAAAAAAGTCCATCAAATGTCCATCAAAGTTTAGTAAAAATCTCATAATAAAAACTCTTGATAAGAATCTCATGATCCAAACCAAAATTAAAACTGAGAATAAAACCATAAAAACTGTTACCTTAAAATAAACATGAACTAAAATAGAATTATATATATATATTTCAGCAACATGTCTAATTTTTGTCTAGTTGAAAGTAAATTAAAACTAACTGAACAACAAAATTGCTAAAACTTTAAAATAAAAACTAATAAAATAACATAAAAATTTTAATTTTAAAATTTGAGCAAAAACTAAAATACCACTGGTTGGTGCTCACTGACGTTCTGACAGATGCAGGACATTTAGATTTTACCCTGTTACTGGATGTTTTGATCTCTTCTTCACTAAAATATAAAATCATAAAGCATTAAACTAAAAACCATTAAGTGTCAGAGGCTGATGATTCAAGCAAAGCAAACCAATAAATGCTCTGAATCATAAAAGCAGCACAAATGCATGCTTTCGTACTGCTTTTATTTGATCCTAAAATGCAAGCTGGTCCTGGTTTTCTCTCAATACGGCTGCATTGTTTCTCACGTCGGTCTAAATCCGTTAGCAGGTTTACAGTAAGCGGCGGGTTAATCACGTTACCGCGGGACGTGAGAGGATCGCTGACGGCTAGATAAGAGTCAAAAATAACTCTGATCTCTGAAGCTCGGACACGTTTCACTGGGTCACACAGAGAGAGACGGGCTCCTCTGAGATCACAAACCACAAAACAAAAGAAAACCACACGTCTCAAATATCAGATGAATCTCTGAAATCCAGACAAACTCGCTCCGCACACATAAATACAGCCTGTGTGTGCATATTACTGTCATCATCTGTGACACACATAACCTGACTGTACTATATGGAAATAAAGAGAAAATATTTGAAGACTAATGCTTTAATGTATTATTTGATATGCAATTTTTATAATTCTATTTATAAATATAATATATACATGTATAATTATTAACAATTTAATTGTAGCTTTTTATATACATTTAATTATAATTCAGTTATTTAATTCATAATTTATACATTTAGTTATTATTTAATTTATTAATAGTTTGTTTTATTTTCAAAGTTTATAATGCTTATACAGGTTACTTGTACACGTTTGCACAAGTTAAATATCCGCATTTATCTGAAATAAAAAGCTTTTGTAACATTATACAAAAAAGCTTGGAGTCAGTATATTTAAATAATTATATATTTATTATTAAATTATTAAATTATAGAAATTAATACTTTTATTTAGCAAGGATGCATTAAATTGATCAAAAGTGATGATAAAGATGTATAATGTTACAAAATATTTCTATTTCAGATAAAAGATGTTCTTCTGAACTTTCTATTCATCAAAGAAACCTAAAAAAATATATACTCAGCTGTTTTTAACATAATAATAATAATAAATGTTTCTTGAGCAGCAAATATTATTATGATTTCTGAAGATCATGTGACACTGAAGACTGAAGTAATGATGCTGAAAATAAAGCATTTTAAATGACAGGAATAAATTACATTTTAAAATATATTCAAATAGAAAGCAGTTATATTAAATAGTAAAAATGTTTCACAATATTACTGCTTTTGCTGTATTTTGGATCAAATAAATGCAGGCCTGGTGAGCAGAAGAGAATTCTTTAAAAAACATAAAAAATCTTGCTGTCCAAAAACTTTTTACTGGTAGTGTACATTTCAGCCTCTTTGTCTAGAAAAATTAATTAATGCTAGTTTTATAATTAATTTCACAAGAAAGTGCTATTTAAATGTGTCTACAACACTAATGTGAAGCAATTAAACAGAAGCAGAAACAGTTTTTAATTCAGTCAAATGTGTCCAAACATTTCACTGGAAGCAAACATTGCAACGAACAGTGCAACTTCTGTTCTGTCGAGCACAGCGCTTGCAACATCAACATCATGGGTTTGATTCCCAGGAAGTGCATGAACTGCAAAAAATCTGCCTTGAATGCAATGCAAGTTGCTTAGGATCAAAGCGTCTGCCAAATGCATTAAGTTGAATGTAAATGTAGAGGTTTAGAGTAGTAAAGAGAATGCAGGTTTGAGTAGAAATGCTCTGGAAAAGCCCCGTGCCTCTTTAGGGCCGTCTATCTCTAATCCTGATTAAATAATTGGGCCGCTGCATCCCACCTGTACGAGAGCCCAGAGCCACAGAGAATCAGCCAATCACTCCAATCCCACTCAAAGTGTGCAACCTGAGGAAAGTTTTAAACACAGAACGACTCCCGGAGCCCAAACACAGCCCTGATCGAACCCAACAAACTACTCAACAAGACCAACCAGCAGCATTTGTTCAGCAGATCCTCTTTACCAGCGCAACACATTCCACAAACCCTCCCCCACTCACTCACACACACACACTCACACACACTCTCTTTCTCTCTCTCTCTCTCTCTCTCTCTCTCTCTCTCTCTCTCTCTCTCTCTCTCTCTCTCTCTCTCTCTCTCTCTCTCTCTCTCTCTCTCTCTCTCTCTCTCTCTCTCTCTCTCTCTCTCTCTCTCTCTCTCTCTCTCTCTCTCTCTCTCTCTCTCTCTCTCTCTCTCTCTCTCTCTCTCTCTCTCTCTCTCTCTCTCTCTCTCTCTCTCTCTCTCTCTCTCTCTCTCTCTCTCTCTCTCTCTCTCTCTCTCTCTCTCTCTCTCTCTCTCTCTCTCTCTCTCTCTCTCTCTCTCTCTCTCTCTCTCTCTCTCTCTCTCTCTCTCTCTCTCTCTCTCTCTCTCTCTCTCTCTCTCTCTCTCTCTCTCTCTCTCTCTCTCTCTCTCTCTCTCTCTCTCTCTCTCTCTCTCTCTCTCTCTCTCTCTCACACACACACACACGCACACTCACACACACTCTCTTTCTCTCTCTCTCTCTCTCACACACACACACACACACATATAGATGAAGTGAGTTTATGCTTAAAAACAAGAGCAAATATCTGTCATTGAAAAGCTGGAATGAAAAGTTTTTTTCCCTTTGAATTAAGTTGATTTTTCTGAGCTCATTGGCAGATATTTGTTCTTGTTTAATCATAAATCATAAACTTCATTTTGATCAGTTTCTCATAAAACAAGACTTCTTATTTTGTCATTTTGCTTCTCCAGTAAGAATCTTTAGACATTCGCTCTGAAAAACAAGACAAAAATACTGTGGAAGAACGTCTTTTCTTCACAGTGTGATCAGATGTCATGTTGAAAGCTACTTTTATATTTTAATTGTTTGTTTGTTTGCTTATTTTTTATTTTTTGGAAAATTAATTAAAAGTCAGTAGTTGTAGATCTGTTGGAAGTTGTATATTTCTAGACTTTAAAGTGTTGCTAATACAACTTATTGTGCTTCCTAGGATATTTACATTAAGAGAATAAACTGACGTATTTGTTTTCCTTAAAATTGGTCTTTAAAAGCTCTTTAAAAAGGCTTATCCCTCATCAAACCTGCAGAAAGCATGTTTAATGCATTACATAAAGCCTAAACATTGGTCAGTATGTTTATACCTTTTAAGATGCCTTGTTTTTCACAGAAACACCAATTCGATGATGCACAGAATAATTCCATTTGAAATCTAGTCCATACTGGTTTGCTCAAAGTCAGCTTTAGTGCTTTACTCAGTATTATTCTTATGCATCACATCATCAGATCAGGCTTTTTTGGGAGTGCTGGTTGCATCGAGTCAGGCGTTATTTGCATGATGCGTTCCACGAGAGATTCAGAGAT